GCCTACCCTTCTTTCTCTGCAATAGTCAGGTTGCATCCTCCCCCTGTGTCTCCCTCTACAAGTTACTATTTTAGTGTTTGCTTCCAGGCCAAACTTTATTTCTTACCTTCCTACCCTCTTTCAAATGTATCCCACAACACCAAGCAATAATTAATAACAACCAGCAAAAAACAGTTCTGCATGTCCCAGCTTGCAATATTCGTTCAAGAGGACATTCAGGTTGGTCCACTCAAAGAGCTTCAAAAGGGACATTGGATCTCCTCTTCAAGTAGTGACCTCACTGCATCAAGGAAATTCTGTTTTAGACCAGAGAGGAGGAAGAAACCTCTATGTAGAAATGCTCCACCTGGAAAATTCTTCAGTAATCTGGTCCTGCAAAGCCAGCTAGAAACAGGTATTAACTTCAGCACCTTCTCTCCCAAAGGGTGCTTCCAAAAGCCTCAACTGCTTTTAGACTTCAAGGAGATTATCTTCACTCATGCTAATTGCTTTGCAAAGCACCTCTTTATGAGTGCTTTGCACAACCCTAATGATAACTAAACCTCTGAGTTCAAAACAACCATTTCCAAAGCCAATTACAGTATGGTCAAATAATTTAAAATGCAAAATCAGGAGAGCTTCAGATTAAGCTATTAAAAAGCTTTAGGAAGGGACATGGTTCCATTACACAAGGTTGAACTATTTGCCCATTTAACACAAAGTACTATTTGTTTGCACTTGCTAGTATGTCAAGCGGAGGTAGATCTCTCTTATCACCTGCTGCCTGACCTTTCCAACTCATCTCTGATTCATCTGTAGAGCATGGTTGGGCAACCTCCTGGCTAAACCTGCCCCTGAACCTCTTTTTTGTAGCTGATGAAAATTGCACTGTCAAAATCTGTTAACAAATGCTAAAAATAGAAATATTATTTCCTGCCAATTTGGGGTAGGAAAAGCTGAACACCATGCAAACTGATAGAAGTGCTTTTTAGAAAATGCACTTCCAGTTTTCCAAACCATATATAAAATAGCCCATTCAAATGATCCCATCCTACATTCCCCCCTGTGGCTTTAGACCATACAGAAAGTACCAAAGAAATCATCTTCCCCAGCCAAGACAAGTTGCCTGTCCCTTCTGTAAATCCTAACATCGCTCTTAATTCAAATGATTTGGTCTGCAAAATAATTATAAACATAACATGCAGGATATCAGGATCAATCTCCCCAGGGAGAAGATTACAAGGACAAAATTCTGCCATCCAAAAAACCTTTTTATGGTTGTCACCTGTTTCAGTTCCAAAGTTGGGAACACTCAGAAAACAGCTAGAGACAAAGAGCTTACATCTTGGGGAAAGTCCACAACATAGTCATAATGACAAAGCAAGGGAAGATCACCTTGAGCTTCATGGAGGAAGAACAGAATATAATGTCATTGCTCCTAATAAAAACAAACAGCCAGACATTGCAAGGAATATGGAGTCACTCACCTGTGTTGCTCTCTCCCCATGAAAAATTCACTGCTGTGTTGTCCTGACATCATCACACTGTGTTTTCTCTTCTTTACAGCCAGCCGTGACATTAGCAGAAGTGGAGAAATCATATATACACATTTCACAAAACAGTGACCTGTAAAAGAGGAGAAGGCTACTTAGGCTGAGATATAATAATCAAGGCAAAATGGACTTTGGGTCCTTGAATGAGAGGTAGAGAGGCCAAGTCTTGCATCTGTACAAGTTCTCTTTATAGGCCTCTCTATGACAGGTAGGGGAATAGCCAAACTAGGCATCTCAAGTTAAACACTGTGTTGGCAATTCATCAGGTCGTAATCTTCAGATCTAAAGGTCAAAGAGGTGTGTGGGTTAAGAGCAACTGTAGTAATTTAGGGGTGAAGCAGAACCTTTTTTTCTTTTGATGATCAGGCACGCATTCCAACCTTTTGTACCAGTTGTAAGATACGGAAAAATAACAGAACAATTTGCTTGACTCAGTTTGGGGAATTATTTGAATGAAAATGAACAGAAGATCTATTCAATTTACAAACTAATAAAGGCTGCTTTAATGACATGGTGATGCCATAATTAGAGATAATGAAGTAATATGCAGTTTACTAAGAAATCTGGCATGATATTTATATATATAGATAAGTACTTATGCAATGGGTGTTATAATACCAGCTGTTCTGTCTTCAGAGCTTATCATAAAGTAAGTAAAATTTTAACAAAAATTCTGCTGGTTAATGGCAATTGACAATGAGTGATCAAGCTGGATTGGCATTTTGGAGCAAGTACTTGTTTGTGTTGCCAGATGGTGGCATTCTATAAATCCTTAGTAAGGTTTCTGGGTTCCTCAAAACACTTACAACTAAAGGATTAATTACTGACCATGAACACTTAGTTACTCCTTTTCTGTTGTATTTGGCTCAGTTCATTTGCTTGAGCAATTCGCTTGGTTTTATTCTCCAATGTCTCCTCCTTCTGGATGTAACCTCAGCTGTATTGCCTGTGTTTGATATATGCCCAAATAATAATTGGAATTTACAGTAATGTAAGTTCGGGGCAATGAAGTAAAAACTGAAAATCCTTCACCACTTGACTCCAGCAGAAAATTTGTCCAGAAGGCATCATTTCAACTTCTAGAGTTGGCTGTCAGGGTAGTGACTGAAGATCATTTATGGCTGCCTATCCCTTAATTCATGAAGTTTAGGTGAAAAATCTAGTGGGAGACTGAGTCTGATATTTGGTGGCTACAAGGAATGCTTGAATTGTTTCAAGTAATTTGGAAGTTAAGGTACAGGAAAGACTCCTTTGAGTTGAGTTTGACCCCTGGTGGCTTTATGAACATACCCAAGTAATGTTCTTAGCAGCAATAGTTGACCACCACCTACTTCCAGAATGGTTTTTCAACTTCCGAGTCTGGCCTGCAGCCCTGGAATAATTTCCAGGTGATTTCCCAACCAAATCTCATCCTTGTCTGTCTATGTTAGCTAGGTACAAGGAATAATTGCAAATCCCAAATGGTGTGGAAGTACTGGTTATGGTGACCATGGGGAACTATGTTTCAACAGTCAGATTCCTTTTCTTTCCACCTGATTTATTTCAATGTAATTCAACAAGTCTTTCCCTTGTTTCTCTGACCAGAACCCAAGTAGTAGACAGAGACGTTCTCTTGCCTTTTTTCTACTAGTTCTCATTTAATTTTATGAAAGAGAAACTGGATTTCAAAATATTTCAAAGAAGACCATTTCAGAGAAATTGATGCTTCCCACTTATTTGGTTGGAAGGTAGAATTATGAATGTCTTATCTTTCATGGAACAGTATTTTGTCCAGTTATCTGCAGCCTCTCTGGCTTCCCACATTTCTATTGAATCTCAGAAGCAGACTGAAGATGGAAGTCATCAGATGGAAGTTTCTGAGTAACTGTACTACTGTCATTGCTGAAGGAGGTGCTGTCCTTGGACAATTATTGGAGAATTTCTCCTTAACCAAGATAAATTTTGGAAAAAAAAAAAATCTCAACCTACAAATTTTGAGAATTTAGAAGGGCCATTTATGCCAGCTTTCCTCCCTAGTTATGGAACATCTTCCTTTGGCAAATTCTTTTAATTCCTTCATATTCATTTTTGGACCCCAGGATGTTTTTGTATGAGAGTACTTATTCAGGAGTTATCAGCAAACCCAGAATGAATATGCAGAATAAAGCATTTAGTCCTGTCTCCAGGCCACATCATTTAACTTGATTTCTAATCAGCTGAAATTTAATATCTGCAACAAGAAAACTTTTTTATCCATGCAAATTTTCAATAGCTCCCAGTCTCTCCCAACGTTTCCAGCAAACTGTAATTTTTAATTTTTTAATATGACTTAAGGGCAAAAAATGTCCAGATGGGAGGCAGAACATAGGCAACCATGGTTGATCTAGAATGCTACGTGGGATTATTCTGGTAAGTACTTAAATGGGAGACCACCAGAATATTCCAGGGATGTATACAACATTAGAAGATAAAAAAATTCCAGGGTGGCAGAAAGACTGGGAAGATAAAAATCAATCAATCAATCAATAGCAAGTTTTCAAGAAAACCTTATGGATGTGTCTGTGAAATCACCTTGACTTAAAGGTGACTTGATTCAAAGGAAAATGTATTGAATACATAACAGGAACAGCCCTCTTATGATCCAGAGCTCAAGGAAGGAGAGAATGCAGTTTCTTGTCCACACAAAGGCCATTTCTTACCACTCTGACTGAATTATTGTATTAATTTAGCCAGCTGCCATTTATTTAAATTTGACTGTGTTCACACAACCCTCTTAAGCAGATCAGTTACAAATCTCATCACTTACCTACTGTGCTAAACTGAGTTACTTACAAACTTGGCTAAGCAGCTTTTGGGTGGCTTAGCAAGTTGTGCCAACGGAGGGCAGATTGATTATTTTGCAACTCAATATATTGGGCAAACCCTGAAAAATGTGTTAATTCAGTAACCAGCTTAAGTGTGCTGTGTGAACAGATCCTTTGTGTGAGACTTTAAGGACAGTACAGTAACAGGTTACACTAAGTCAAACAAGAATTTTATTCTTGTGTTCCTGTACAGTATACTATTGTAATACTGCTCAATTCCTAAAAGGATTTGTTTTGTTATTCTGGTAGTTGGGGTTTTGTTTTTGTTTTTAATCTTTATTTTTTAAACCGTTGGAAGCTGCTTTATACCAAATCTGACCATTTGTCCACTCAACATAGTCTTCTGGTGTTGTCAATGGCTCATTTCCTAGGAGGTACTATCACCAGCTGTATTTGGCAATTCCCTAGGCTAAGATCTGATAGTTTTTGCATGAAAACCATGTTCTGAGCTACACCCATTCCCTTACCTAATTTGTAACATGTCATTTATTTATTTATTGGTATGTTATATTGTTTAAATTGAATTAGCAACTGAGTTCACACAGTGGAAAGACGAGGAAGAAGCCCTTAATAAATCAATCCTATATAAACGTGTTCTTTCTCTCTCTCTCTCTCTTTCACATAGATCTTTGGAAGCCAGCATTTGCAAAGATGAAATATCTCAGCTGGTTGAGCAAGAATATTTGAGCCTTACCCAAGAGAATGCAACTGAGTTAGAAATGCAAAGATCTGAAGATGAAAAAGTGCCCCCTGTTGTTTCAGTTAAGGCCCCAAATAGCAAGCAGCTACTCATGCTTTCTGATGGGGACCAGGCATTAGATGAGAAGGATGCAATGGAAAATGTCTACAGGGCACTCACTGGAAACAAAAGAGAAGTGAAATTGAGGTCGATCTGTGATATCCAGTTGTCCACCAAGTCTACTGTCACAGGCATTTTGCTCCCTGCAAAATTAATCCACAAGAATAACAAAAATGCAGAAAGTGGGAGCAATACAATGGGTTCCAACACTCAAATTGCCAAGCTTCTGGCTCAGCTCCCACTCAAACGCGTTGAGGCTACCAAAACTCTGGACGGCAAGATGGTGGCTGAGGAAACCAAGCTAATCAAGGATCTACTCCAAAACAATGTGTTTGGATCTATGCCCCACAAAGACAGTATCACAAGGCCACCCCCGATCATGACAATAACAGAAAGTCAAGGACCAGGTCAAAAGAAGCAACTCCCAGTGTTTGCCAAGATCTGCTCAAAAACTGAACCTGAACTCATTGCTGATGGACTCTGTCAAAATCATGGTAAGGGCTATGGACTAACTAATATTACATTGAAAATACTGAAAGAAAGAAACCCAGGAAGCATAACACAAGTGGAACTCATAATTTAATTAATGTTTGGCTGAAATCCACCTTGCGATTTCTCCAAAGTTTTCTTTCTCATAGGAAGAAACTTCTGCTTTTCTACTTTATCCTCAAGAAGCTTAAGAATTTCTAGTTTCTCTGGATGGTGTGTTTGTTGGTTTTTTAACTTTATTTTTGGAGGTAGCAGAGTGTTCGCTTCCATCATGGTGACTGGAAGAGGGCAAGTGCCCAGAGAATATTTGCGTCTCTCTTTTTCTCTTCCCCTCCAACTATTTCTTTGCTATTCCATTCTCCCCCATAATAACAAAGCCAGTGCATAACTTCTGATCTACTTCTAGAACTGAGCTGAAAGATTTTATTTTTTTCCCACACCACCAGCCTTGCAAACCTGTCTTGGTTCTGGGAGTGGTGGGCACTGCTTTAGCCTGAACTCAAACTCAGCACAGACAGACCCTCAGAGGCTGTCTTTGCAAGCACACTTAACTTTGTTAGTGGATTAATCCATAAACTAAGAAACCACTCCTAAAACAAGTCAAAGTTTTAAAGCTTAGCACGTTGTACCAATGCTGCTGCAAGGCGTGTCACCAACCTAGTTCAGGATATTGTCCAGATATTGGCAGCCCCAGAGCTGTAGTGTAGAGTAGCTGAGCTCAGCCAAGGTGTCTGAGTTCAGCCTAGCAGTGCAGCCGTCTTGGACCTGAACTACTGGATGCAGGCAGAACTCACATTACTGGATGCAGACAGGAATTCTTAATGAAAATGACCTCCCGCTAAATGCCCAGGTTTTAATGTTAGTTATGGAAGGTCAAAACCGTCGGTGCAGGAGAAGCACATAAGGCAGGTTCACCACCACTGAGACTTCCTCTCTTTTTTTCTTGCCCTTTCCCATGAAGTCACCAGTGTGGGGACTACTAAGTTCTCTTCTGCAAAGGAATCAGATTTGGCATGTAGGAGTCCTCATATTATAACTGCCAGTAAAAAATACTGAGTGCCTAAGGCTCTGGAGAACAGCTGCCTTTCAGTGAAGGAGGTACTGAATGTATTAACCTTTCTTCCTCTCAATATTATCCCTCAGCACTGGGAGAGCTGATAAGCAGGAGGACTCTGCAGCTCAGCTCCAGTTCCCAGGATCGACTGAATTCAGATTGGTTCAGAAGTGAGTCAAACGAATTAAGGTTCAAATTGAAGGCCTCCCTTTTGACATGACAATTCACTTCAGGGGTGTCTGCATGGAGGAGGTCACAGATGCCAAGATGGTGGCCACAGCCTCACCCCTTTTATGGGTTGTGATGCACGTAAAAAAGGGGCAGGGTTTTGACCCCATGGCTGTGGCCGCCATCTTGATGTTTGTGATGCCCCTCTCTGTGGACAGCCCTGATTCCCATTGTCAATCCAGTTTGGGAAACCAATTTGATAATCCCATCAAATGGCCTTTGAATCAAATCCCCAAACTGAATCTTGGTACAGCCCTGATGAACAATCTAGTGAAGGGCTGTTGAGTTACCAGATATCTGGACAGGCAAAGGAGGACACACTCACTGTTTCACTTTCTTGGCGTCTGTGACAAAAATCACAGCGAAATACTGCAAAGCAATGTTCTTAGGCCTCCATGTGCATGAAATTATTTTTTCCAAGATCAGCAGGGCTGGTTTTTCAATCATAATATCTTTCCAATAAATCTTTCTTTTCAAGAACATATGCTAGCAATAATATAGGATCATCGATGACATGCTTTTCAAATTTCACCTCAGATATGTACAAAGAGTTATGTGATTTACAGACTCTGGTGATCGTAGATTGGAAGGGGCTGGATTAAAGCCGATGGCTGAAATCAGGATATAAATTAAATAAAGTAAATCTAGGCTGTCAAGTCCATCAACGGGAGACAGAAAGAAGTAGACAATTTACAAGGTCACAATACACGAATGTTTGACTGACTACTGTTGTGAAAACAGTCCAGCGCCCCCCCCAAGACACTCAAAAAGTGGACAATATTTAAATTTAAGTCTATGCCTGCCAGATGGAGGACAAGAGAACAAAAAAGGACATCCTTTTGCTGGATGTCTGATAACTCTAGTCGAGTGCCCAAAATGTCTCCTTCTTCTTGGGGTTCCCTCAGCTACCTTCCTCAGGCCAAGAAACTTAACTAAGGTATCCCACAGATTTGGAATACTTTTGTCTTCCAGCAGACAACCTATCTTCTGGAAGACTAAAAGCACCTTCCAAGAAAGTGCCTTTCGAGAACACAGGCTGTTCCCCTCAGGAATAAGAGAAAGCAAAAGGTTTGAGCAAAGATGGAAAGGAATTTTCCTGCCTGTTCTTGTGTCCACCTCAGCATGAGAGGTGCAGTTTGGTTCTTGAAGCTGTTTTCCTTTTCAAACCCAGGTACAGAACAGCCTGTTATTTAACAATAGATAATATTCATCAGTTGTAGGAGACGTTTGGAACAACGAACTCAAACAATATGGGGGGGGAAAAGACAAGAATATATAAATTTTAGGGCATCTTAAGACTTAGAATAACATTGTTTGGATCCCATACTCTGCAATGTCAATTGCTTCTCTGGTTGAGAAATGAGTGGTTCTTAATCATGATATACAGATAGGAAAAAGAGATGTAAGACTTGAACTTTGGGTCTGCTATATAGAGGACCTGAGTCTTACAATTTGCAGTAGCTGGATTTCTATGTTTTTAAAGGCTTTTTCAAGCATTTGCAATAAAAGTACCTTAACAGAGCTATATCCTTGAATCTCTGGCAGCAGGTCTTCTAGCTGGAATATTGGTTGGGGTGAAGACCGATGCTGAAAATCTCTTATTTCCTACGAGGTAGCAAACAAACAGCCAATATTATGCTAAAGTCCTGATACCAGCCGGAATTTAAATGACCTAAGGATCTAGTGATTTCCTGAAAAATATATTGTGGTTAACTGTAGATTTGATTTTCTTATATTTAAGAGTACAAAATTGATTGATGCTCCTTTGGCGACACTGAGTACTGCAGACTCTGTGCAAATACTGCTTTTTAACATTTTGTCCTAATTCATACCACTCTTTTGCTGGACAAGGACAGGAAATTAGAAATGCCGTGAGATGTTCTTCTGGTCAGTGGAAAGTAGACCTGCCAGTCCTTCTCATTTAAAGTGACCTCATGTTATTGTTGTCTCTTCTTGGGAAGTGGGTGGAACACGTATTTTCTCAGATTCGTTGGTTAGTCAGAGTGTATTTGGACCTTGTATTTTCCTCATTTTCAGTTAGAAGAGAATATGTGTAGCTCAGGGTTGAACTGTGGAGTCCTTGGGTTCTCTGAGCTTGGTTGTTTT